TCCTGACTAAGGCAAACCATGACTGTGTGAAATGACAGCCATTTCAGACCTAAATACTTCTACAGGGGCTCTTCAGCTGCCATTGTGTTTCTAGGAAGAGTTTACTTCCTGTGAGCTGATCTCAACACTTCCAAGCCCAGAAAGAAGTGGTTTATTTCCTCTAAGTAAATGAAATCTACAAACATAAAACTCAACTTACAATGACAGCCTTTGATATCTTTATACAAAGGTGCTTAACTTAGCATCTGTAGGTACTTGACTCTCCACCCAAGAGTAGGGTGTTTGCTTTCCCTCTAGACAACCAAGAAATCACTGAGGTGTGTTTACAAGGGTGAGGTGGAGTGGTGCAGCTGGCCCTAAGGAAGAATTTTAACTTGGAGTTCAAAAAATAAGAAAAAAAGAAGAAACTTTGGGTGGGGTTTTTTTTCCCTCTTTTACCCATCAAGGTTGAGTAAAAGTATTGAGCATCCAATTATACACAATTGGATAATTGGTAAGAATGGATCTTCCCAGTCAGCCTAGAACAAGGGGCAAAGATGGTGAAGGTATTGCAGTTTTCCAAGCAAATGTCAGGGGCAATCATGGGGCAGCTTCCAAGCTGCCAAAAAGTCTTCCACCAAGGAAAATATAACTGGTCCACCAAGAGTTGGGCCTCTACCAGGCTTTTGGAGGTCAGTTTAGGATGATGATAATGGTACAAGATCCATGTTCCTTCTCCCTTGAGTTTCTTAACTGACTCTTGAGATTAAGACATTCTCAAACTATTCTTTAGAAAATTAAGAACTGTACCACTTTGCCTCATCTGAGATTTTGAGTTCTATCAACTAGGGATTTCCAGAACCAGCTGTTGACTCTTAGGAGAGAATCTGGGTGTCCTGGCCCCAATCTGACCTTCCTGACTTCTTTTGTCTGGCAACACAACAGTTGGCAACATACAAAAATGGAATTAGCATGCCTTTGCCACTGTATCTTCCCAGTCAATTAATGTGTATTCTTACACATGCAAGCCCAGGATCGCTTTGAAAATGTGTTTTGATGCTGGGCAGACAATGTCGTGTTTTCTCCTTGGGTTCCCATGCTAACATTTGCTTATGTATTACTTGAGATCCCAACTACTGACCTGGCTTATTCCTGTGCCCTGGGATTTTTTTGACAGGAGAAACTGTGTCTTACTCCTCATGATGGCCTCAATCCTGGCATACAGTAAGAACTCAGTAATCTATGCATTAACCAACTAATTAGGAAATCAGTCACTGCCTACCCCTTCATTGTACAAGGAGTAGAAAAAAGCAGCATTTGTGGGGATTGTTTCCCAGGCTCAGGAGCTCTGTGAATGCTCAGCTACAGAAGCAGGGAAGGAAGCCAGACAAACAAAGTGGAAAGGCACTTAATCTGCTCAGTTCCATCCTTACACTTCTCCCAAATGCACAGGATCACGGGAACCTGAGGCACCAGAGGTCACTATACCTCTTGGGGAGAAGGCCGAGCACTACTCACTTCTGCACAGAGAGGCTTAGGCAGCCTCCAGCCAGGGCAATGATGGGATAAAAACACATTACCAGATTGGCATGACTCATCCTCCTGCACTCTGGCTGGAACTGCTGCCTTTCCACAACTTGTTCTCAGGCTTAAAACGTGGCTGTGGGACTTGGAGGAAAGGCTACCTTGAGGGGAAAGTCTCCATAGTGATTTCTGTGCCTTGGGTGTGCTGTGCCGAGCACCTTACTATCACTTCAACCTCAGAAAACTTCCCCAAAGCTTCAATGCAGTCAAAGGCTTTTCCCTGAGCTCTTGCTATGTGGATCCTCCTTGCACTCATCTCTGTGGATTCTGAGTCCAGTGGCTTGAGTAGACCAGCTACTGTCCCTACTTTTTTTTTTTTTTTTGGTACCGGGGATCAAACTCGGGTTCTTGCACTTGCGCAGCAGGCGGTGAAACCACTGAGCTAAATCCCCGGCCCTGTCCCTACTTTTTTAAAATTCTGCTGGTTACTAAACAGCTAGAGCTAAGAGCCACTTTTCTAAGCAACAAACCAACTAACTGTTTCCCTTTTGTGTTCTAATCCTCTTAGTGGTGAACCCAACAGATCATCACCTAGTGCCATTTGCATTGGTCAGAAACACCAGAACTGGGGCTTTTAGGGGGCTTGTTAGTCCCCCTGCTTCCCACTCCTTCCTGAAGGCTTTGCAATCTATCCAACTTTAAGACAATTCTGGCACCTTTGTGCCTACACAAGCCAAATGTCCCCTTGTTCAGAAGATCATGTGGACCTTGAATAAGCAAGTCACTCCTCATGTGCTTATTTATTCTTGTGCTCAACAGGTGGACTTTGAGAGCCCACTATGGGTCAGACACGAGCTGGGGCTCTTAGGATGCAAAGGACAGTAATACTGAGGGGAAATCTATGAAAAGGGTAACAGTTTCTATTACTGGCGTTTGGCCAGAAGCCCTGTGCCTACCTCTGCTGCCTCCTGTCTCTCTCATATCTAATAGTCATTTCCAGATCCATGGGCACCTATCTAAGGCTGAGGCTGATCATGTGACTCCTTTTGTATAAATACCACCCTTGGTCCCTCGTGCTCTTCCATGTTCGACACCAGCTCTCTTTATCTGTGAATGATTATTATTAACTCAGAACAACTGAGGTCCAAGTCTTTATCCCCAGAATAGTTTCCCTCCTTATAGAAACTTTGGTTCAAGTCCCATGTGTTAATTTTAATTCTTGATTATGTAGTGTGGGGATAGAGACTTCCATGCCATCTCCACAGAAAGAACATTCATTAGCCCACTCCGTCCATTGAGACACTTTCTAAACTCACAAACATGAGCCTGTGAACACATTTGTTACTCCAGTTCTACCTGCCAATGTTTAAGGAAATCCCTCCTAACCTTCCTCAAATATCCACCAGTGTCTGAAACTGCATCTCCAGATTAGGCTAATTAAAAGCAGAAAATACTATGGCTGTTTCCATCACAGATGTGAAATATGATATCTATTCCTAGGAAAACTGCTGCCTAGGATGTACCATGGTGTATATACAATTTAATGAGTTTGAACTCTGAAGATCAGTTTCCAAATAAGTATGTTCAAGTTTGGTTGAATGCCAAGGGTTCAAAATTGTAAGTGTAGCTTATTGCAGGAGGTAATAGTCAAACCCCAATTCAAAGAGGAAATTCAGATCCTCATTTTCCTGGAGATTGACCGGGGAGGGGGGCAGTGCTCCAGAGAGTTTGAACATGAAAAATACCAGGTGGGCAATAGCTTTTAGAGATGGGCAAAAAGAAGTGTATCAAAAAGAGAGATGAGCTACACATGGCATGTTCTGAGATCAGGAGACAGAAAGGAAAGTCATCATGTAAGATCAATTTCCACCGTGAAATCTGAACCTGGAACTGTTTCTCTCACGTATTGCGAGTGAATTATTATTTTGTGAAATGCCTGTTTTCCACCTGAGTTTGGCACCAGGGTAAGTTGACATTATGAAGTAGAGATTGCATGCAGCATTTGTAGAAGTAAAATAAAAACAGCTTCTGCCATGAGGCTGATAGAAGTGTAATCTTGCTTCTGCTATTTGTGCTGTATATGGCCTTAGCTCAAGTGCTTAGGAATAAGGGACCTCGGTCCATTCATGTCTAGGTTGTGGCTAAAAATGCCTGCCTCACAGTATTTTGTGAGGATTAAACAAGATAACAAAAGTGTTTAGTGACAATCACCTTTGTTTTCTTTTATATTATTTTCAGAATAGATAACTGTCAGAAAAAAAGCAACATAGTTACTCAGATAAGTGTGTGAACTAAAAATGTTATTAAAATTAAGAAAATCCTGCCTTCTGTACTTCAAGTCCTTGTGATTTTTTGAAGATTTTAGGTCAGCTAACCAATAGAACTCTACAGTGGTGTTCCAGAATGTTCTACAGTAATGTAGCCCAATACACAGCTTCTGGCCAAATGTGGCTATTGCACACTTGAAATGTGTGCCACTGAAGAGCTGATTTGTTTGTTTGTGCTACCGGGGATCAAACTCAGGACCTTGCACTTTCGAGGCAGGCACTGGAACCACTGAGCTAAATTCCCAGCCTGAAGAGCTGATTTTTAATGTTATGAGCTTTGAATTATTTGAAACTTGAATGGTCATCCATGGCTAGCAGTTACCGAAGCAGGCAGTGCTGCTACAGGTCCTTCTGAGTGTCAAGTTCTCCCACATCAGGATGAGAGGAAGCAGTAGAACATGAGTTCAGCACCTATGTTCTGAAATCTGACTATGTGAGCTCAAATCCAATTTTCAACTCCATCACTGGGTGATGTCACACAAGCTCCCTGTGCCTCAGTTTCCTCTTCTGTTAAGGGCTTCAAAGGATATGACAACTATTTCCCCATACAACAGCAGTCCTCACTTTCTTGAAACAATGCATTTGCTTCTCTGCTTTACGCACTAGGTTATGCACACCAGGCCTAGCACAGATAGACTCTGGTGGAGTACACATGCCAAGAGGGAGGGGGGAGGGAGGGAGAGAAGGACAGAGGGATGAGGAAGACAGGAAAGAAACAGAAATGAAATCAGTAATAATCTGTCTGATGAAGACTGAAGTATGCTGTGAAAGTAAAATAAATAAAAATGAGACCCTAAGACCATTATTTTGCAGAGGAGACAGTTGGGATGAAAAGGAGCCTGGCAGGCTGAAGAAGAAATGCTTCCAAGTGACAGCGAAGGGTTGTGACAGCGCTGAGAAAACCAAGGCCAAAAGAAGGGCAGTAGACTGCAAGGTTTTTCTAGATCCCACATCGATGAAAACACAAACCTCAGAGTGGGTTTGACAACACATCTTCCAGTGAATGTGATTGTGCACTATGTAATCTTCTCTGTCCATGGCATGGTCTCATACACAAGGGAACACTAGAAATAAAGCGCATGCTTCTGGGGGCTTCCCATGTCCCAGTTTTTTATTTCTACTACATTCACCAGCTCCCCCCAAAAAGCAGTGTTGGGCAAGTTTTCATAACTGTTTATTCATTATAAATAGTAAATATTTACTGCACTTTTTACATGAAAGACATTTTTACAACACATTGTTGTTGACTGAGGCTGCAACACAAAGATACTACTTCTCTTTTCTATCACCCTTGTCCACTACAGGAACTAAACTCAGCACCAAGCCTAGGTTTGCTAACTCACTACGTCATAGTTCTCACCACTAACAGGAATGGATTTGTGCCTACCTCATTCACGGTTCGGAGAATAGGAAGAAATAAATAACACTGCCTCCCACCTTCTTGTTCCTCTTAACACTTCAAAGAACAAATTTATTGACATTCTGAAATGTCACCACACATACATATGTAAACCTCAGTTCCTATAATCTTTTAATATTGGATATCACTGTATAATTTAAAAGTACATGAGAGCCACATGACCTGTTTTTGCCCTGTCTTTCATAGAAAAGAGAAGAATGTAAACGAAATCATTTTTAAAAGCATTATTCTGTAACATAGTCTCTAATCAAAGGAGCAAGCCAGGGGTCAGTTGTCCAGCAAATAGCAAACATCACTGTATTCTACCACAATGAATTACGGGCTGCAAAAATAAAAGCACCTGCAAAAATATAGTTCTGATTTTGTTTCTGTCACCTTGGCCATGGCCAAAGCATCTGTGAGGTACACAGTATTGCACACCGATAAGCAGATAAGTGAATGCCTGTCACCTCCTCTCCACCATGCCCTTCTCCCTGCCCAGGTTGGCTTCCAAATGAATGTGACTTAGGAAAACATTACCCCTCTCCCAAAACTGGAAAAGAAAACAAGCTTTCCTTCCTGTTACCCCACATCCTACTGGCAAGATGTGCGTCCAGCACATGTATTGACAACTAGATTACAAATGAGGATACAATAACAAATAATTTATTTGGGAGGTCCTTTACATCTAGTCTAGCTTCCTAAGATATGGTGGCAATTATTTTGATATCAATTTCCAGTGTGTAAAAGTCAAGGATTCCTCCATTCCTGCTTCATTAAGTGAGCAGTTTTAAAGTTGTCGAAGTATCAGCCTTGGACATCCAACATGTTATACTTTAGAATATTCTCCTACTATATTTTAGAACATTCTGATTGCTCAGATCAGTCCAGATAAATCTCAGATACACACACATACACACACAAAATGGAATGCTTCAGCTCCTTGATCTTCGGCAATCAAGAGTTGGGATATTTTGATATGTAGCCAGGTTAAGCCATTGCCTTACAATGTTGCCTTTGTTTTTCAATTGTCCCAGATCTTCCTCTTCTCCACTGCTTTTGTCCAACATGCTCAAAAGTATCTGAAACCAACTCCTGGAGAAAGAAAAATCAATCCCTTTCCTTTATCTCCACCTCCCCCGAAAGGGTGACTTATTTCTTTGTTATGTATGTATTTATTTTTCTGAGAAGATTCTTCAGGTCTAGGCTGTGGAGACGGGAAACAGGGCCAGTTTGAGCTCCAAGCGGACAGTTCACTTATGCAATATCTGGCTTGAGATAATGAAAGGCACCTGTAAGGAAACACATGCAACTTTTTAAGTCATGTTGGGACAATTCCCAGTCAGGGGCAATATCAGCTACAGGCTGACAATGTCATATTTAATACCGTGATATCAAAGGATTCAGACTAATATTTTTATTCCTGAGACAAGTTTGACACAACTCTGTGTCCCTGGGATTACATCCCATATGATCCTTGAGCTGACCTCATTAAGAACATGTGTTTCTAATGCCAGGGGTTATTTCATTTTGGCCAACCCTTGTGTTTTACCTACTGGCAATCAGGTTTTATGTCTCAGCAATTAATGACCACAAGATGTTGTTGACATCAGTTAAGAAAATAATTATCCAAGGGAGCCCTGCCTGAACCAATCAACTGGCTCTGCCACAAAATGGATTCTAAGATGTAGGGCTTACTCATGCCTCTAACTCCTCTTTCTTAAGCAAGAGTCGAATTTCTCTCCCTTTCAGAGTCATTACCCCCTAGAATGTCCAAGGCTTACTTTGTCCATATTGCCCATATTGGTAGCCTGTAACGGGGTCCATACTGTAGCCTGTGGTACTATAGGTGGGTGGACAGTAGGACTGAGATGTTGGCAGACTGTCCAAGCTCTTCATGTGGTCTAGTCTCTGACTGCAGCTGGCAGACACCGTGGTGGTGGGTTCCAGGCCCCCAGTGAGAGGGGAGAGTGCGTAATCCGTCTGGGGCTGATGAGGCACCCCACCATGGTTGGTCAGGAGTCCCATTACCTAAAAGAGACAGGGAGATTGAAAGAAATTAAAATGCATGAAGGTCCAGATGGTAGCCCACAGCTGAAAGAATCACTTGAAAGTCCAGTTTCTCTTTCTTTGGAAATCCGTTAAAGAACTATTCTGAAGACTGTGACCTCAATTCAAAGCGGCAGTGAATATGACATCATGCATCATGCCCAATGATAACATCTGACTTCAGTTTCAGAAAGAGGAGTGGGGCAAGGGAGAGAAAAGGAAAAGAAGGAAGGAAAGGAAAAAGAGAGACAGGGAGGGATTACACCCGAGTGATAAAATCAGACTGGATTTTCAAAGAAAAGTAAAGAAATGACAGGAAGGGGGAGAAATTATATCTGTTCCTATAGAAAAAATGTCTAATCATATATCCCATCCGGAACTTTCACATGTGATTTTAAACAAACTTTTTTTAAAAAACGAGTGCTTGGGGGTAGCTCAGTGGTAGAGCCCTCATGTAGTATGCAGAAGGGCCTGGGTTTGATCCCCAACACCACAAAAAAAATAAAAAATTAAACAAACAAATAAATGAACACAAGTCAATGTGGTTGGGGTCTGAGACCTCTACATCTCTTTTCACAATGTTGCCTCTTAAGAAACCTCCTGCCTTTATCTTGAGCATCATTTGGGAAGCAGAAATTATTTTCCTCCCACTCTGCCAGTGTTCCCTTGTGCTTTGTCTCTCCCACTGTTCAGTCATGAGTTCTGTCACCTACTTTGACTAGGGGGATTCTGAGAGGTGTCACTGATGCCTTTCTAACCCAGCACCGAAGTGATCAGCATCAACACAGTGTTGAATGAACCAGGGATTCTCCAAGCAATCACCTCCCTTACCAATCCATTCCCTCCACAGGTAAGAAGGGTTAAAGGGAAAGATGAGCCTTTTAACAAGAAGTGTTAAAAGGAAATGCAAACATGTCCTTAAAAAGGCCAGCTCTGTAAATGACCCTGATGAGTACGATAACTTTAAAAACGATACCAAAAAGCACTGGTCACAGAACAACTTTCAGACCAGCCTGGTGAAATGTTTCACAAACTCAAGCTCACTGACCCTACCATTACCTCCTGATGGAAATAAGTGGATAATTAATTTTGCAGCAGGAAAATGGCCACACAAGGAGGAAGTGAATTTTTTTCTAAAGCAACTGTGGAAGAAATCTACAGCAGAGCTGGGTGAAAACATATCTATTACGAAGTATTTAAATGCAGGCCCCCACAATTGCACATGTCCATAATAGACCTGAGGAAATGGAAACCAAACCCTGACTCAAGGCTCTGGTACTGCATGCAAAGCAACTATCACTCAAAAGCAATTCAAACAATAGATTCCTGAATCAAAGGGTCCAGCAGGACGGGGATTGGGAGCTCATCTTGCATACCAGAAAGTATTCTAACCAAGACTCAAAAATATGGATCACATAACTTCCTTTGGGAAGAGTTTGCATAATCCTACAGCTAAACAAAATCTTTACAAACTACAGCTTCAAACTGATCCATCTTCAATGAGCCTCAAGAGACGAGAGACACAAGGTGGGGAGGATATCTGTTCACCTTCTGTGGATTTTGGACGATCTTCTCTCCCTATCACAATGGGCCACTCCTCTCCCCTGGCCTCCCTTTCAGTTACTGTGTGCTTATGTGGGTGGGAAGGTGAGCAGGTTTGGAGAAATCAACACACTATGTCCAAATTTTGTAACATACCACAAGGATCCAAATGTTCTTGACCTGTGAAATATCTTTTTTGAAACCTCCGAAAATTAATTATATTCTAAAAAAATAATCATGGGTAGCAGAGCATAGTTCTGTTTTTATTTTTTTATTTATTTATTTTAAAGACATTGCTAATTGTTTTTTGGGTTTTTTTGGTACCGGGGATCGAACTAGGGTCCTTGCGCTTGCACAGCAGGCGGTGAAACCACTGAGCTAAATCCCCAGCCATTTAAAGTTTTTTTTTTTTTTTTGGGTACCAGGGATCGAACTCAGGTCCTTGTGCTTTCAAGGTAGGCGGCAGAACCACTGAGCTAAATTCCCTGCCCTTAGTTCTGTTTTTATTGGGGACCACAGGAACGTGAACTTCACAAAATAACAAATGGGTAGGATACACAGCTATAAGATGGATTGCCTCCTGGATAGATTTCCATCTACATGGATATTTTTCATCTTCGTCTTTCTTTGAGATTATGCTGATAATTTGGCAGTATATACTTGGAAAATTCATAACTTCAATGTATGTGGTAATTTACTAAATAACTTTGTATCAGTCTAAACTAGGAACATCTATTTAAAGAGTCACACTACTTCAAAGCAAGGAGCACAACCTTTTGTGGTGGCCTGATAGTCAAGAATGAATAGAAAACTTTTAAATACAGAAACTGTGATTTTTTTAACAAAAAGAGATAATAACAAAGGACAAATCTTATACTGTAAGTAAGCTGTGTTAAGTAAAACACAAAAACTTGGAAAAAATCAACTTTGTAACTCTATCGGCTCAGAGAATATAATTATCCAGTGTCATAAGATTAAAAGGAAATATGTACTTGAACTTAATAGTATCCTTCATGAAGATGATTACTTGAAACTCAGTTATGGGGTGCCACTTTAAGGGAGAAATGGAATGTGCCATGTACAGTTATAGTTGAAGAGCTCAGAGTATGATTTTATTCAAAACATGTACATTCTCCCATGAGCTATATATGTACATTTTTGTGATAAATTTTTTTTAATCCCCTGCTATACATTTCCCTTTTGTATAACTCTGAAGACAATAACTTTGTCCATGGGGTGAAAAAATATGAAGACCCTAAAAAAGAGGAAACAAGTCCTTCCCGTAAGCAAAATTCAGCATAAGATGTTGTTCATTTGCCATCTTTTTTGCAGTTTCTGCATTAGAAAATTTTTTAGGACAGAACTTTAAGACCTTAAAATATGTCTACTGGAAGATGGAGAAAATAGTACCATCTTCAGAGCCCTATTCCAGGGCAATAGATGATAATCTCTCAATGGTTCTGAGGTGCAGTGCTTGCAAGAAGACTCCAATAAGGGCTTCTCGTTTAGCAATAGCCCTAGTTCCGTAGCCCACTGGCTGATGCAAGAGAAGAAAGAGACCTGAAACCAGTTATCATTGGTTCCTTTGCCTCCACTATAGAGCACAAGAGACGCATTTTCTCCTGCAAATGCTTATCTCCACTGGGATGGTCACATCTCCTATACAATCACAGTCTTTCAAATTGCCTAATGATAAGGAAGGGGGCACCACTATTTCCATCCCTTTGGTCTAAAATTTAGATTAATAAATATCATGTGATTTATTTTCAGTATTTCACAGTGAGAAATATACACAATTTTCAGAAGCTGTTGTTGAAAAATTAAGAAGGAAATGGGGGTGAATATATCAATAGAAAATGCATTACTTTCCTCTAACATAATTTTAAACATCAAATCTCTATGGAAGGGTACCATTATGCTTTTATGTGTGCTATTTTTTGTTTCATGTGGTTCAAGGGAAGCTCTGGAAATTTCTTTTTGTGCACAAAGACGTTGGTAAATGAACTTTTCAGAACACCCCCAATAGGGTTATGGAATGTCACCCATCATATTCTAAGAATATCGTCAGGATTTCTTTTACACATGCTTTTCCTATAGCAATTTATTATTCAAAGCCTAAAATAAAGTCTGCATTTGTTGTAAAGTGGATTCTTCTTATTGCTCTTAAACCATTAATAAGCATTTCTACTATAGGGATTGCATTTTTATTCCCCGTTTGGTTGTATTGTTTTGTTTAATGTTGGGACAGGGAAAGCACAATTGCCTAGCTCCACAAACAACTTCAAAGGTAAAGAAACAAATTCAAGGCTATTCAATCCTGCCTGTTGGACACTGACCACATTCTTAGGAAAGGCCAGGTAAATCCAGGAGATAGGACAACCAGAATCTCCCATGGGAAACGGCTGAGGCCTGCTCTTAGTTTTCACTTGTGGTTGTATACAACACTTAGCCAAGGCATCTGGGGGGAAAACCTATTAAGTAGATTTCTAAACTATTACCTCTGAAATGCCCCCTAGACGCTGCTTCTAAATTGTTCTATGAGTGACGTTCAAAAACAATTCAAAGCCTTGGCATCTTTTGCTCACACTTACGCTGGCTTCTCTATCATTTTTCTTATTAGAGACATTTTCTGAAGACTCATTCTCCACTTCCAGAATTCCAAACAGATTGTTTATATCTTGACTGGAAGATTATATGGTTCAGGAAAAACTAACTCTTTACAATTGCCTCATGCCATATTTCTCTTGAATTAATTTTCCTATTGTAAGATTAAATATAAAAGATAAAAACTATGGGCTAAATTAAGATTTACATTGAAAACGATGTGTCTGGAAAATATTTGGCTTGGCACCACAAGCATCATGGTTTTGCTGTCGGTTGAAAGTGCTCAGAGCTTATCAGAAATCTAAAATGACTTAGCAAATTAGTATGTATATTGAGGCACTTCTTTTTTCTCTTTTTCCTTAAGAGGAATCCTGGTTAATGTTTTCCTTTTCTTTTGTGTTCTTAAGTAACCAGATGTTCTCCTGACTTAACATTTAATAGCACATTTAGTTTCTCTTTCTTGGAAAAAAAAATTGTAAATTACAGCTTGGTATGATATAAAGGTTTTTTTTTTTCTTTTACCTTCTACCCTTCCCTCCAAAAGCCTACTGACTACATCTTTGATTTAGATTGAATCTCTCTCCAGAACCAAACAAAAAACTTCAAATTTTTTTTGCCAATATGGAGTCAACTAATAGTTTTATTTCAATGACTCTATCTTTGAAGCTGAAAAGCCTCAATTTAAATGGCAGAGACTTTTCCTGAAAATGTCTTCAGATTCAAATACCATAGGAACTATCCTGCAGTTGATTAGCATCTAAATAATTAGATTTTTGGTCCTGTCCATTTGAAAGCTGTGGAGGGAAGTTGCCTGAAGGCACAGGTTTCTCTTAAAG